CAGCTGCGTCCAGGGAGGCCCCGTGTCTCCGGGGCCAGCCCCCTCCCCGGTCCCGCGGCTGCGGAAGTGCTGGTGCGACCACAGGGAAGGAGGAGGGGGGTGACCCCGACCCTCACTGTCTCTGGAGCGTCTTCTTTCGGACTCGGAGAGCAGGTCCCCAATCTGGGGTCCCCGGGGGCCTGGAGGAACCCCAGACACAGGATCCTCCTCGCACACCAGGGCCGCATGCAGGCGCTGGCGTTGCCTTCAGCCCATAAACACCCGCTGGGGAGGCTGTGCCGGGAGCTGCTCGCGGACCTCGGGCATAGCTGAGCTGAGTGTTTGGGAAGCTTCGGTCTCTCTTCCCGGGAACAAGGGCACAGGTGGAACCCTGTCCTCCCTGAGCCCCTGAGGCCACAATGGCACCAGGACCTGGATTGTCCTTTGACTTGGAGCGATTGGGAGGAGGACGGCACAGGGTGCATGTGGGAGGCTCTGCGGGGTGTTGGGGGGATAGTGGGTTCTCAATAGAGGAGTTTTTCCTGGTTGCAGCTGCCCCCGACCCGCCAGGGCAGGGTGACCTTTGAGGACCTGGCTGTGTACTTCTCCTCGGAGGAGTGGGAGCTCCTTGATGAGGCTCAGAGACGCCTGTACCACGATGTGATGCTGGAGAACTTGGCACTGATGGCCTCCCTGGGTAAGGCTTTCAACTCCCTGTGCCCCGGGCAGGAGTGTCTGCCCTTCCCTTTCCTCTGAAGCAGGTCTGTCCTCACACCAGGACGGCGGCCAGGCTTTCTTCCCCAGGTCCCTGGATGGGTGCTGTGCTTACACCCTGGGTGGGTGCTGTGCTTACACCCTGGATGGGTGCTGTGCTCACACCCTGGATGGGTGCTGTGCTGAGACCCCTGGATGGGTGCTGTGCTTAGTTGGGTTGAGGTCTGTGCATTGCCCTCTCCTTCCTTGAAGAGCCGCAGACTTGCAGGGAAGGAATCAGGGTCAGAAGCCTTCCAGTGAACCCACCGGATACACCGGACTTCCTTCTCCTTGATTTTTGACCCAAAGACTTTGTTCTGGTCGTACATCAGTGAGCTGAATATAAGACGCCTGGAAGCCGCATTAGTTTGGAGTCTTTTATTACACTAGCGGGCTGAGGAAGTGTTTCCTTTATACTTTTCTAATGTTTTTGTTCTCCTAAATATGGGACTTCCGGTCCCTTTTTCAAGTTTTCAAAGGAGCCCTAAGTTTGCTTAGCAGATATCTCACAGCCTGTAACCTTGAGTACAACACAGTTCAGTAGCCTTGAGTATAGATAACTAAAAGACACCTGGTATGAGAGAGAGCATGGGAGTATTAGCCCCTTACCTTAGATGACTAGCCTGCAAGGTCAGACAGCTAAGCTTATCTCCCTGTTATTTAAGCAAGCGTGAAGCGTGTGTTTACAGAAGTAAAAAGCAGAGTTAATTCACAGAACAAGGGACCATCTAAAAATAGCAGAGATGCCCTGACCAATTTGGCTTAGTGGATAGAGCGTCGGTCTGTGGACTGAAGGGTCCCAGGTTTGATTCCAGTCAAGGGCATGTACCTTGGTTGGGGCACATCCCCAGTAGGAGGTGTGCAGGAGGCAGCTGATCGATGTTTCTCTCGATGTTTCTAACTCTCTCTCCCTCTCCCTTCCTCTCTGTAAAAAATCTATAAAATATATTTTAAAAAGTAAATAAATAATCCCCAGGGAAGCCTGGGGTAGGGGAGGTGGGTAGCCGCAAAAAAAAAAAGAAAGAAAAAAAAAGTAGATAAATAAAAATATCAGAGTTAAATAGCTGAGAATTTCAAACAGCAGTTTTACAAAATAGAGATGACTGTGCTTCAGTTCAGCTCCCAGGCCCGTGTGTATCTAGGTGCTGCTGCCTACTTCCAGCTGACATTGCCGCAGGCCTGCCTGGGCCAGGGATCCCCATGACTGACATGGTTCCTCCTCACATGGACCCTCCATCGAAGTTCTCTGTGTAGTATTTGGTTTTCTTTTCCATTGGCTGTGATGTGCTGAGTTGTTCTGGGCTAGTGCTGGTTAATCATGGTGCTGTCCTTCCCTTGGTACCTGTATACGGTGTCATGCATGTGCTCACTGAGGGAGTTGGGCTGGGTTAGAAAGAGGTGGTTCACAGGATATACATGAATCCCGGCTCAGCAAAATGTTAGGAATGGCATCTGGAGAAGGGTGTGATGTGAGTGCTGTGTTCAACTCATACCAGACGCCTATTCTGTTGGATTACTGCGTGTTTTAAATATATATGTATTTTATTGATTTTTTACAGAGAGGAAGGGAGAGGGATAGAGAGTTAGAAACATCGATGAGACAGAAACACCAATCAGCTGCCTCCTGCACAGCTCCCACTGGGGATGTGTCCGCAACCCAGGTACATGCCCTTGACCAGAATCGAACCTGGGAACCCTCAGTCCCCAAGCCGAGGCTCTATCCACTGAGCCAAACCGGTTAGGGATGGATTACTGTTTTGCTCCTAATCCTGGGGCCACACTTCACTTCTGTCTGTCCTTCCCCTTTCTGGACTCTTTGCCGATTTCTCAGCCCTATCACTTGTCACTTCTACTCTCATCTCCAGCCTCACATCTCTGCACTGTGTGTCTCGCCTGGTTTCCTCTCTACTCCATCTCTGACTCGTTGGGCCCTTTGCATTGTGTCCTGAGGTGTGTGCATATTTCTAAAAGTCCCTGAATACCAGCTGCCCTGTTACAGTTGTATTTTCTTTCACCTTAACACACCCGTCTGCACAGCTTTCATGTGTCACCAGTAGCGAAGTTCTCTTGAGAGAAGTTGTTGTTGAAGTGAATTGTGGACCTGTGTCTACTCTCTGTGTACACTGCATGGTTGTGTCCTTCACCATGTGAGGCCTCCCCCAGTCTGTGCTCTTCATAGCCCAGTACTGCAGAGCAGCCCATCCTCAACCTGAACCAATTCCCTGGTCCTGCCCACAATGCAATGGACTTGTTCCTGGGTTTGTCAGACACATGTGTGAACTTCCCCTTCCCACCAGATTCAACATGCACTTAACCAGCACTTTTCGTTTCCAGGTTGTTGGCATGGAGCCCAGAATGAGGAGGCCCCATCTGAACTCAGCAGTTCTTTACAAGGAGGGTCCCAGGTCAGGACCTGCAAGGCAGGTGTGTCTCTCCCCGAGGCCCATCCTTGTGAGCTGTGTGGTGTGGACGTGAGAGACATTTTGCACTTCACTGGGCACCATGGGCAGC